TATTGCAATAAAACGGCAATTTCATACTTTAACCCCTAATATATTTGTGAATGATATTTCGGATGTTTTTAAATTTTCGACACCATTTTCGTATGCTGATGATCTCAAACTGGTGAAAACATTCAATTCATTAACTGATATTACTTTACAACAAAGTGACCTTAATAAATTAAACTTATGGTACAAGTCTAATGGCACGTTTCTCAATGCTGGAAATGTTCATTCATTAAACTCACGTAGGATACATGTGTTTCCATCAGCTTATACTTTGGAAGGAACCTTTTTAACTGAAGTAATAATTGACAAAAATCTTACTTTTAAGCCGCATATCGATTCAACTGTTAATAAAGCGTCGAGGATGCTTGGTTTTATATTGAGAAATGGAAAAATCTTTCGTAGCGTTCGGGTGAAATACTTATTTACAACAACTTAGTTAGGACTGTACTTGAATATGGACGTGTGGTGTGATGACTCCACTATGCTGTTCACTCATTGCATTTGGAGCGTATCCAAAAACGCTTTTTATGGCATTTAACTTTCTGTGCTGATCTTTCTGAAAAACTTAAATCATACGACTACGCATTTTAAAATTACGCCCCTTTCGGAGCGTAGAGAACTATTAGATATGGTTTCCTTTTATAAAATGTCCACAACTGCTTGGTAATTTAAACTTTAAGATTCCCGCCAGGCTTCCGAGATTTCACTTAAGGCTTTGTCACCCACCTCGTCGTAGAACAGTATTAGGTTCCAATTCCCATAGCTCGTATGTCTAATTTATATAATGACTGCTCCAAACATGCGGATATTTTCGTTGACTCACTGCTAGATTTCAGAAACAAAATTCTTAATTTTCTTGGTTCGGGCACATAGCGTTCTCTATTATTTAGTATCTGAATCGTGTTGTATATTTTACTTATAAAAATGTCTTCCTAAATTTTCTTTTTATTAGTTTTAAAATTATTTTTTACTTTTCCAACTCTGTTTAAACATTTTCTTTCGCATGAGGTAACAATTTAAAGTTACGCAATTAGACTAAGTTTTTGAAATATATTAATACCTACATGAAATATTGTAGTAACTGTTGGTGTGCCTAATAAATAAATTTAAAAAACTCGTATATCTGTTTTTTCAAACAAACCTTCAAATAACAAAAAAACAAAGATTTGTTTAAAAACACAAATATACGCGATTTAAATAGGCGATTGTTTTTATCCACTCAATCGAAATCTTCTATACCCTGACCTTAAATACCTAGTAGCCGTGACACCTACCTATCATTTCAATATCTCTTAAGACGGTTCCAATTCAAGTGATCTGGAGTCTGCCTGGCCGTCTTTTGGCGGTTTTAGTTCCCGGCGACAAGATCTTCTTGGTCATAAATTTGTCATGCCTGCGCATTACGTAACCATGCTAACGTAATCGATTCTCTGTTAGTTTATCCTGCTTAGGTGCCTTTAAATATCCCTCAAATGATCAGTTATCGGTTCAAACTAATTTTTCTTTAACAGGACCTAAAAAAATTCAACACAACACACTACCCTCCGAACACGTTTCTCAAGTTTGCATCAGCGCTCAACAGGCTCATGGAGGACGGAATCTTGACCAAGGAGATCCTACAGGATGTAACACATGATACCACGGTTGGAGTCACTTGGGTGTACGCCTGGAACCATGTCGTAAAGCTATTTGAGAGATCTGATAGGGACAGCATTCTTAAGTAAGTATCAAGAAGATTTTCATCCACAATTTCTTTTAACTGAAAGTGAAGATGCAGCTGAATAGTTACGACAACTTAAAGCGTTACCAGAGTTTAATAAAGTTATAATATGAACAAGAACATACATGCATTCAGTAGCAGTAGAGCTCCTTGTGAAAGAGTTCTTGTATTCTTCTGATGTTTTGTCCCATAGTACAGGGCGCTCCTCGACTAGGGTTATTAAATAATCAACCTCAATATCGTCTGTCATCTTTTCTGTTCTGTTCGTCCAGGGAAGTACTGCCAACTTGCCTATTTCAGTCGCCAAGAGTAATGTGACCATTACTGTGTTCCGGTTTCGAAGGGTAAGGGTGCTGGTGAAATACAGGCACATGGGACTTGTCAACTTATGTCGGGCGCAGTTGCAGTGCCCCTCAGATCTTTGTGATTTAAAGCTTTGACTGGCACTGCAACTGTTGGCGCCCAGTAATGGCGATTCTGAAGTCTATTTACTCGGCAACAACATTTAAATTGCTCTAAATAATGTATCTCTATTCAAGCCAGCCTCGCCCGCGTAGTGATGAAAGAGACTCAGTCTTTTAAGGCGTTTTATAACGACTTGACTCCATTTTACGGGACTCGACTCTAAAATTAAGACTGGGGGTTCGAGTTTTTATTAATAAAACTCAGTCGTTATACTAAAAGACTAAAAAGACTCGAACGACTAGAACGACTTGAAAGACTTAAACGACTCGAGTTGTTTGCAAAGGACTTATACCTATTTTATGTCTTATTAAACCCGAAGTTTATAAATAAAAATGACGTAAGTAGTATGTAGTAAATGATCACGTTTATTTACTTATAATAAAAATGATAAAATAAATAGGTACCTTGTGGGTAGAAATAAAATCACCGTTTTAGTCCAATAAGTCTTTTAAGCTTCATATGGCTAAAAAACTTCGACTCGAATTAGTTAGTCTTATGACTCAAGACTAGAGGGTTAAAAGACTAGACTAGTCGTGAGGCGTTGAAAATAAGTCGAAGTTTTTTAAAAGGTCTTAAAAGACTGAATCTCTTTCATCACTACGCCCGCGTGCCCGGGATGTTCATTTAAAAGCTAACTAAATAAAGCGTATTTTGCCACGGCAAGCGGTCGCTGCGCGGCGGTAACGCGGACTCCGCTCGGCGACCGCGCGGCGGCGATGAAATTCGTGTTCAATGATTGCTTGAATTATTAGGGGCAGACATGGCGCTTACCACCAAACACGTGACTTTTTCGTCCCGTCTTACTTAGTATTATAAAAAAAAACTTCGTCTAACTTTCTTCATTATGTCATTAATTTGTAAGCACAATAAACCCAAGCGACCTATTATTTCAAGCAATCAATTTATAGTCTTAGAATAATAACGCATAGAATGATAGTTTCGTATCAAACGAACTGTCGCAAGTGAGGCAAAAATCAAATTCATGTAGGCTAGTTTTAGTAGTAGGTTAATTTTCGGTTTTAGTGAATATTTATATAAAAATACAAGTTGAAACGCGTTCCTTCCTTGTGGAATGTGATGTTAGTATCTATTTTATGTTTGTCTGACGTATTTTTACACTCATTTACCGCACATTTCGTCATTTTTAGCTAAAATTCTTGAGCTGTTCGCGGTGCAAGTTGACCTTGAGTACTGACGGCCCGCCCGCTCGTGTATGCCCATTGGGAGCGCTTCAATTTGCCTCACTTAGCGTGTGCGGACTAGGTTTCTATGCGTTATAATTCTAAGTTTATAGTGTTATTCGAGTTTGGTTTTTAATAATGCCTAGTCACTCTCGCCTTGAAAAGGTCCAAGTTATAACGTTCGGGGAATAAGTCCGTAGTAGTATGTTTATATAAATTAACTGTATAATATCACAGCAAATGTACTTTGAATTCCAGAAACTTATTTTCAAAACTAGACACTGTGCTACCCGCCGTCAATACAACAGAAATCTCAGGGTCTCTCTACGTACTCTGGAACAATTACATCACCTGCTCGGTCTTGTCACCCCAGACCGATGACACCTGCAGGGCGACAGCTCGAAACGCCTGGAAATACGCCTTGCAATTCGTCTCAGTTATATTTAGAGAAGCTGCTGGTGATCTACTTACATTTTTCAAGGAGTTTTATGGTAAGTCCTAGATTTGATTTTTTATTTCTCTCATTCTAGTCTGGTCGTCTAGTCCATAATAATAATGAAAACCGTTAGTAAATGAATTCAGAACTCTTTGCCATAATGTAATAAATAAGGCAACTCCCGCGTGTTCTCGTCTTCTTCACTCGGTGCATAGGGTTGTCACATTATGATTTTAGTTGTACTTGTAAACATAATTTGAAAAAAAATTAATCACAGTATACTCGTGCTACATTGAAATTCTACATTTGTTAAATGCAGTAATTGCGTATTGATATTAGTATGCCAGCAACGCGGATTGGTACCTCGATTACGGACGTATGGTTATAAATCAGAAATGAAATACGGAAGATTCTGAATTTGAGGCACTCTTATTCAAACAACCAAAGAACAACAAACAATAAACACGTCGACTATTTGATGTTATTTTCACCTGCGCTATACAACGCGAATGTACCTCGAGAGCACACACATACATAGGTACATTAAGCCGCGCTGCTACGTCTGTATGGATTTAGACTACTCGTATTATTATATGCGGTTTTTCAACAGGGACATAACAATTTTGTATTTCAATTAAACACGAATAATTGAGATATAGAGCTAAAGTTTATACCAGGTGCAGTACACATGGTACATTTAAGAATGAAGTTCGATCTCGTTCGTATGACCACCGCGAGCACGTTTGCAGCATTCAATTCTTTGGTGCCAATTGTCCACCACTCTTCCACACATATCAAACGTTGACAAATTTCCCGTTGGGTATTGTTCCTGAGCTCATTTGGCTTATTGGCATAGATCGCATGAACGAGGTGGCCATTCGACTGGATCATTTCGCGACATTACACGATTATCGAACTTTAATAGATCGATTGTTTGACCAGTTCTGTGACCACTGCAAACGTTCCATTCTTAAATGTAGAATGTGTAAATAATAATAAATACTTTATTTCTGTAATACATTAACACTGGAGTTAGATATCTCAATGATTCTGTGTTTTATTGAAATACAAATTTGTTAGGTATGTCCTTATTGAAAAACCCTTTATTATGCCTTTATTGTAGAAACAAGAGGTTAAGTAGTATTTTCTGTGAAATGCATAGCGCAAACTTGATTGCTCAAAAACGTCTACTGATGAACATAGCTCCCCCAAAGATTTCCAGACCAGCCGATTAGCCAGTATAATATATGTAGAAAACGTGAATTAACGAAAAATAATATTATATAAATTTCAGACCCTGAAAGAAATCTGTTGCAAGTACTTGGTTTCACAAAGAAGACTGTATTGTATGACATGTATGAAAATCTCGGCGACTTTATGGGCGTACTACTCAATTCCTACGGGGACCATGTATTTATGTCAGAGGTATTTATATTGTTTCGTATACAGTACATTCATTTATTTTCCAGCCATTAAAAAACATTTCAATAATTGTCGTAAAAGAAGTTGTTGTTGTTGTTCCAACAACACTGAACTTGCAGTAATATTCCATGTGACAGTAACGGAGTTAACACACTTATCCACGTGAAATCGGCTTGAGGCGATTATGTTGTATCACACTTGTGTTTATTCGGGTTGGTCGGCTGCAGCGCTTCTGACAGCAGCTAATTTGAACGCGTCCTAAGAAAAATAGTAAATAGTGACTGACATAACATTAAAACGAGGGATAAAAATAAACTAGCTTGACAGTCGTCTTCACAAAGTCACAAATACATTTAAAGGGGCAACATATGCGCTTCTATACATTGACCTACCACCTTCTATAATAAGATTTCGGTTGAAAATGTTCAAAATTTGCCATTAACGAGGTTTAAAACTATAGTGAAACAAAAGCTTTATACTAAACTAATAATAAAATATCGGATATTTTCGATTTAAGATGATTGAAGTAAATGATAAATGTATCCAAACATTGACTTACAATTATATGGACGTCGGGTCCGCACTAAAAAGTGTCCGAACTTATAGGGCGTTAAAATCGTATACAAAGCGTCATTCACGCTATAGTCTTCGTTTGTTCGACTGACAGCGAAGCAAGCAAAATTAGACAGTACTACGATGACATTACAATTTCAATTCAACGTTTTAGCTTTTTCATATTCCTTTACATGTCATTACGTTTAAATAGGTTGACTTGGGACATTTTTTTTGTGGTTTTTGTATTAGACCCGTCGTCCATTTATTTGTAAGTCAATGTATCCAAATGTATATTTACAAAGAGCAACCCCTCTAGTACTTCTTGCTCATTCTTCTGAGGGGAATCTGCCTTACGTATGAGCGGTAGAGTTTAATCAATATGACGATTTCCAGTGTAATTTTTAACCGACTTCAAAAAAGGAGGCGGTTCTCAATACGACTGTTTGTTTTTTTTGTATGTATGTTACGCGATAACTCCGGTATTTGTGAACCGATTTTCACGATTCTTTATTTGTTGGAAAGAGGGTACCTCCATAGTGGTCCCATTTCATTTTAAAGAAAATCATCCACCTCTAAGAGTGGCTGTTTACACATGAAGATTCATTTTTATAAATAGCGCCAAAATTTTATTACAAGGAGAAATTATTTTAATGGTTGATTTTGCTATTCTACAATTCAAGGCGTTTTTCTCTCAATATACTTTGAGTAGTGAGAACCGATTGTTATTATCTCCTGTATCAAGTCCCGTATAGTGGCGAATTAGGGGATGAATCCGGGTTTACGCACTTTCCGGTAACCAATTTCAATAAAACTTGGTAATTACTTAGAATAATAACGCGTAGAAAGTGAGGCAAATTGAAGCGCGCCCAATGGGCCTACACGAGCGGGCGGGCCGTCAGTGCTCAAGGTCAACTTGCACCGCGAACAGCTCAAGAATTTTAGCTAAAAATGACGAAATGTGCGGTAAATGAGTGTAAAAATACGTCAGACAAATATAAAATAGATACAAACATCACATTCCACAAGGAAGTAACGCGTTTCAACTTGTATTTTTATATAAATATTCACTAAAACCGAAAATTAACCTACTACTAAAACTAGCCTACATGAATTTGATTTTTGCCTCACTTGTGACAGTTCGTTTGATATGAAACCATCATTCTATGCGTTATTATTCTACTCTGTAGTGAGATTATCTTGCCTTTGAAATAAAGATGATTTTTATTATTTGAGGTAACTAGCAACCCGAAACCGTTCACAGATTCGCAAAGCATCTCTCTCCCAATTCTGGGACTGCGAAAGCATCGTGTCAGCTTTGGTGCCGCCACCAGGCAGCATCATAGATAGCGAAACTATCACACGAATACGGCCCATCATCTGCCCGTCTGCCCTGTACTGGTTGTCGCTGCCTGTAGGAGATAACACGTTGCTTGATGTTATTGCTAAGCCTGTGAGTATAAATATTACTAAAAACGCGTTGGCAATTAGGTAGGTCTATAAGGGAAACGTTTAAGATTCCCGTTTCTACGAAAGTGTCCGTATCAGAAGTCACAATAGGACTTTCTAGGCGGTAAATAAAAACTTATTGACGAGACTGAGGGCTTTATTGACTCGAGGTTCGTTTTTCGTCACATTTATTCCAAGGAAATAAGGAATAAAAATATCGTTTCACAGCACAACAAATTGCGGATTCTGCAAATGGCGGGATTTTGTTTTTTTTTTATAAACAGTATATAACCAACACTCGATGACAGACAGCCAGCTATTCTTCCACAGATAATACAACTAGTGTGTTGTAAGAGGCAAAAATGCATACAGCCATGATTTATTTCATATAAAACAAATAATTTCAGAATACTAAAAATAGATGCAGAATTAGAATTTATAAAATTAGTATAATATATACCTAGCTGAGTGTAGAAATAGATTTCTCACAGATGGCGCTACGGCAAAAAAGTCGTTAAAAATCAAAAACTGATCTGCAACAAGCACATAGAAGAAATCGTAAGATCCGCTAGTTCGTTCCGTGGCCAGTGGGCACGGTTTTGCTGGAAGACGTTAGTTTAAATCCAGCTGGACCGAAAGATTTTTTTCTAATTAATACTTATAACAAACTAGTGGAGTAATTATACAAATATAGTGAAATTGCAAATGTTCCGTTTTCTTTCTATACTCCAAGCTTATGCGAAATAGATTCAAATTTTTCGAGTATCAAATCTTTTTGCGTAATCTTGACATAAAAGTGTACAATATTTTTTTTTCAAATGCATTACCGTCCTAGGGTGTATTTATTTGTAATGAACATCATGATGTTTTTACCAACTTAATGTTCATATATTTTTGTGAAAATTCTCCACTTTGTTTGTTATTATTATTGATATAAAGACCAAACAGACACAAAGAAAAATTCGATCTGACAGGGCTCGAACCAGCGCCTAACCGGAGCTCCGCTCTTCCAACAGATCTACAGACCGAGCCGTAAAGTTTTATTACCATTGCTTTTTTATATATGGAATCCTTTATTTTTCAGCAATACTACTTCTACACACTGGACGTAAACAATCTAACTAGCTCGTATGAAGAAGCCTACGACAACATGAACGAACTATCAAACTTATTTATAGACATCGCTAACAAAACACAAACTCTCATCAAAGAAGAAGATATTACGTTGGATTCCCTTCGACACAAACTTGAGAGACTCGTCGATAACGTTTTGAATTACAAAATAAATTCATCCGATCCTTCATATAGAAATTTCAACGATATTAACAAAAAACAATTTGCGACCACTATTTATTTAACACGAATAGTATCGATAATTAATAAAATAGTTGGTAATATTTCAAATTTGAATGTCAGTGATGATCTACAAGGTGATTTGAAAAGTATAAAAACACAATTCAAATCTCGTCCTGATGATTATATAGCTTTACATTTCGATTTGATAACCGATGTTGTATGGAGGAATCAAGAACAGTACACGTTAATTGAAGCAATGGAAAAGTTATGTAATATCCAATCGAATGAAACAAATAAGGCTATTCTAATGGACAACATGAAAGTAAAAGACGTAATATGTTCCAAGAGATATAAAGAAATATACAGTGAAGCCATGAAAGATTACGGTGATGACTTAAAAAATGCAAGATATAGTTTAATAAATCTTGTTCAGATTTTGCAAAATGGTACAGAAGATGTGACGACTGATGTTTTTGACTTTTTTAATGAAAGGTAAGTTTGTAAAGTACTTGAAACCAGATAAGGGCAGTTTTAATTCATTTCTGCCCAAAATCGTAGACGGAAACGGCGTATACGAAATATGGTATAATTCCATACTTATTACAAATTTCGATGTAGAAAATCTTTTTTTTAAACGCAAAAGTGGCAACTCCACACAATATGTATCGATTTATTTTTATTTTATTAGGTTTTCAAGCGAATCAATTCGAAAAGCGAAAGAATACAATAGATGAATAGGAAGGCAAATCGTATCGTCTAGATCAGAAACCAGTAGTAATTAAATTTAAACAAAAGTCGACTTCCAAAAAATATTTAGTTGCATTAAATAGTTTAGCATTAATAGGTTTTAACTCGATTTGCACCCCGCGTTACCAAAGTGCCGGATTGAAATCCGGGCGCTTGTTCTTCTCTGCTTGGAACAAATTCAATAAATGAAACCTGGTCCCTGTTAAAGTGCAGACTAAATACACGCTGAAAGTTACCCTTGGACCGTTCCTCTGAATATTTTTAAGAAATAATTTTGCCGCAAGTTGATTTATGTTGGCAAGCCATTGAAATGCAAAAACGTCGGACTTTTCAGGGTCAAATATGGCACTTGTCCGATTTAGCTGCCGTGTTATCGTAAAGTAACGCAACGCTCTTACCAGATGGTTTTGTACTTAGATTGTCCAGTGGATTCGTGTCGTTGTAGCGCAAAAGAATACGTGTACAAGACTATGCGACTCTTGGACGTTATTGTTCAAATATATCATGATCAATCCTGCGTTAGTGATGGTTTACAAATTTTTTTTCAAACTAGACGTACATACTATCGGTTGATAGAAAGTAGTATCTAAAAATCAATCAAATTGATTGAACCTCTTATTTAAAAAAGAAATTTTCCTTCTACATTTCAACAGAGAACAGGTAGTGAACTCCATGAAGTGATGGCTTACAATTTTTTTTCAAACAAGACGTACATACTATCGGTTGATAGAAAGTAGTATCTAAAAATCAATCGAATTGATTGAACCTCTTATTTAATAAAGAAACTTTCCTTCTACATTTCAACAGAGAACAGGTAGTGAACTCCATGAAGAAGTCAATCACGTATGCGTACGATCTTAGCATTCCTATTTACCTGAAATACTTGCAAAGCAGCTTGCAGCACTATGACGTCATTCTCATCTTCCTCTCGGGAGGTGATTGGTGGAGGGAGTTGAGAAACCTGTACAACGGACCACACGCAACGAAGTTCTTCGATTCTTTGGAGAAAAGTTTCGAAATTACTGAAGATGTGCTGAAACATCTTGATAGCATTCATGTAAGTGTTTTATACTTTTTAAGAGTTCTTCTTATCATGTCTATGGCGGCGTATTTTTCGTAGCAGTAGAGCGTTCGTAGCAATAAAAATTTGCTACATTTTTATACAGAAAATAATTAAAATCAATTATAAGAGATTCTTAATAATAAGTATTTAAGTAGGATGTGGCTGAATTGCAGTGAAATTTCTGTTTAGACAACATTTTAAGTGAACGATTTAACTTGAATTTAAGTAACCTCCTTGAACTTGAACCTGACCTAAGTAAGAAAGTGTGTCGAGTTACAAATCTAAAAAAAATTACCGACCATGGCTGCAACGGGAAGAAAAAAGGCCAGAGGGTTTTACTTGGGGCATTATAGTCAAGTTAGCCACCACGGAATCATACAATTTACGAACAAGTGTGATGAACAAGTTTTTCTGGCCGGGTCAAGGCGATTCCGTGTGATTAAATGTGGCGAGTCCATAAGGGTGCCAATGAAATTACAGGCACTTGGAACTTGTCAACTTATGTTACAATGTGACGGGGGCAGTGGCAGTTCCCCTCAGATTGTTTGCGAATTAAAGCTCTAAATGGCACTGCAACTGTTGTGTACAGGCGTGTCGCTTACCAGCAGGCGCACGACTTGTTCATTCCGTCACTTGGTAGCATAAAAAAACACTATAATGCTTGCCATCGTGTGTAACAACCGCGAGAACCTAATGGATCCCAATTTAAGCCACATACGGCGTTTAGGCACATGGAACTTGTTAACTTAAGTTGCAAGATGACGGACGCATTGGCAGTGCCCATAAGATCTTTGCATTTTAAAGCTCTGAGTGGCACTGTAACCGTTATGGACAGGTGTGTCATTTGATGTTATAAAAAAAATGTAGCAACACCCTAATAAGGTCGCTGTCTGTACGACGTACATTTCCTTATATACTATCTTTATAATTTTATAAAATTATTATTTTTTAATTATGAAATTGACCAAAAAACCATTAGTGTTTAAAAAAAATTAAAAAACCTGAATTTCAGTAATTGGCAAAAACTTGTTTGGTCCCTAGACTCTTTTGATGAGTGCATTTGAACCAATATGCAATATTTATTTAATTTTATAGCTTGTCCGCCTCCTGCGCGACATAAATGTGGAGAAATTGGACGGTTTCTGTGAGCCCAACATCACGTTGTCAGACTACATACCAGATAGGACTGGTATCCTCTCGGACCTCAAGCGGTCGCTTTGTGAACCTGAGCCTGATGAACTTTTCAAGGAGTTACCACCGCTAGTGTTCGCTTCACAGGTAAGTACCATTTTTTCATCACAACAAATACCTGGTCTCAAACCACAGAATTCTCTATATTTTGAATACCAGAGTAACGGAATTCACTCCAGAGCAATATTCATAAAAATCCAAGAATTCTGACAAATAAACTTAATTTATTTAACTCACTTCACTTTTTATTTTTATGGCTCCATCATTATGATAAATGATGATTTTGCCAATGTCACGGTTGAAAGAAAAAAAACGAAACAAAAAAAAAATTCGCTAAGCTCTAATAGGACATTAACCGGTGTCGGTAAGTTGGACCACGGGAGTACTCAGTTGAGAATGTAAAACAAAACAACAAAACAACATTTATAAATATATGTTATTTAAGTGGATAAATTTACATAGAGTAACAATATGGGGAGAGAACACTAAAGTTAAGAGGTTGTTTATGTTAATGGGGCGGGGGAATTTTGGAGAAAGTAAGTTATAAAGTGGAACAGCAATATTAGGACAAATTTGTTTAACTCGCAATCTGGCTTTCTGACAATCGGTTTTAGAACGAAAACATTGACACCTGTCTAAACGTATGTTTTTTTTAAACTAAAATAACATAGAGTCTCATTGTAAAATTACTATCTGTTAGTCTCGAACCAGTCTGTGGTTCTTAATTCCACGGCCGTGAGTCATATGCAGGATTGCACGCTACACTACACTTGAATAAGAATGAAGATGCGATATGAAATGTTGATTCTCTATTCTGAGTTACATCTTTCTTCACCGGCTCACCTTAGGACCTGGCAGAATCATCAGCGTCGTAGTTTGACGGAATTGCGGCATAATGCTGAGTCAGGCTCCTTTTGCTGACACAGTGAACTCAACTCTATACCTGACGCAACGTAATACTCCAGACCATACCGGCACATCTAGACTAGCCTTTTTCTTTATGATGACCGTTGTACCTATGTCATAAACTTGTTTGTGATTCAGCAAATAAACGAGTTACCTACCTATCTATCTATGAAAACGAGAGTAGTTGCTCGCCGCCGCTTGTACCCTCGTATAGAGTGACCAGGCTGTCAGGACGGCGCGCAGTTTTCGTCGAGCCACCGCCACGGTAGCTCATGATTAAAATTGTAAACCACAAAATTGGTATAAAAAAACAGAACAAACAAATTGGTATAACCACAAGTGTAAAAGTTCTATCAAAATAAAACTGCAGACATACATACATTAAAATAATATATTCTTTCTGAAAATAATTGTATTTATTTTATTGCTGCCATTAGAGAGCCAAGCTCTTGACTGTTTCAATAACAATTAGCTACTTATTTTATTGATTGTTAGAAGAAATGTTATTGTAATCGTATTGCTTATGTCATGTAAATTAATGAAGCATTAAAAAAACTTCTTTTCAATTGCATATTAATCAAAATAAGCATTATTTCATTTACTGACTTCATTTAAGAAGAACACAAAAAGCATACTAGTAATATAAAAATATTTAGTTACGAGGCATGTAGCTATAAAAACATACTAAAATTTATCATTCATTTTTAATATTAATCTATCACAAATTGAACAGCCGAAGTCGTCAAAGACGACTGCTTTTTTATGGTTAGTGATTGCAATCGATAAATATTCTATCGACTATCGACCAGATGTTGGTTACGCTTTTGTAATAAAAAGCCGAATTTGTTTCATTCGAATCACCATCGGCCCATTATTCGTCCAACTACTGGGCACAGGATCATTTGAATTGTCAATATTTGTAAGTTCATACATCTATTAAAAATACAAAGAGGAGACATAAATTTTAAAGTTATAGGTGTACCAGAATCTCATGGTATTAAATATTAGAAAAATCGAACAATTTTCACCTGGAAATGTTAACTTGTCACATGTCAATCCAAAATATTACTTGTGTCAAATGAATGTCTGCTAGACTTTTTTCATTTTAAAATAACGTTTTTGTAGCAATAATTACAAAAAATCCTCTTCAATCTCAAGCAAAAGACATTGTAATATATTGTTTATCCCAAAATCAGCGACGAATTAGGTGCATCTAAGTCACAATTCACGATTTACAACCAGGTCTCAAGTCTTGCCGATTAGTAAGAGTAAATAAACTTGATCTTTGAATTTTTAACGAAGCCAAATTAATGTATGTGGTACGTAATTTTTGTTGCTACCTACTGGTCTGTGAGACTACAGTGTGTAGATAATGATTAATTGGAAAAAAAGATAAATGACGTAAATGCGAGTTACTTCAAACTGCGAACGTAAATAAATCTATCACCCACTATCTAATTGATATATTTTTGTTTAATTTTAAAATGTATCAGAAATTACTTACCTTTCTTACACACAAATTCAAACAGATCTTAAAGCATGTACGAGGATAGATCAATCTTGGTCAAATAAAATATGTCAAGTATCTAGTACATTTTTCCCTACTATATTGATGTTGCCCACTACAAATTTCAACTTGTCTAAGTGCTATCAGATTCTGGTACACCTATAATTATTTTATTTCAAAACAAATAATCAAATCCGTCTGTTCTTGTTAAAATGTATATCAATAAAAGTTTATTTCGCTACTAGTAGGCCAACTGTCGAAACAATCATGAAGAAGGCAGTAACGCAAATTAGTAATGTTTAGGACATTGTGACATTCGCAATGCAGACATTTTTTTTGCATAATTTTACATTCTTTCACAATTTATCGATCAAACTGTCGAGAACATGACTATTTAAAATTTTGTGAAAACTGGCAACCTTGCAAATGTCATAATTATTATTTTATTTTTATTCAATATGCTGTGTATTTATTTTCCAGGGCTACTCGGACAGTTTGCAACTATCCAGAGACGTAAATTACACATCCCTGGAACTAGATGTCGCCAAAACAGAATCCCTGCTAAACCTTAATCAAGACCTTCAATCCCCGCAACGACCGTACTGGGTTACTGAGGACAAACTCAACAGTTTGAGGAAGGTGGCCATTGGACTATTGTCTAAAGAAACTTTGACTAGCATCGCTTTTGGGTTTCTTAGTAATATTGTGGACGCTGGCACTCTGTTTTTGAACGATGGGTGAGAAAAAGTTACTAAAATTACACATAATTATTGGCGCCCAATGTGGGACCACCTCATTCAAATTTTACTTGCTTAAGAAAATTAATTCATGACGCATGACCAACTGCTCTGGTATTATAATAATGCGCACACTCATAGTCCCGCACTAGGGAAACCCTGTACCACGGAGGCCATGGAACACACACATTGAAAACCACAACTCACAAGAGAAATACATGTAGTAAAAAATATTTTTCCCGACCTGGGAATCGAAACCGGGACCTCTGCTTGGCTGACAAGCATGCTACCCGTTTGGCCATGGAGGTATTGCAAATGTCTAATAGCGATGATGACCAATTCCCATCAGGTGACTCATCTGCTCATTCGCCTCCTAGTTTAACATAACAAGGATCCAAAAAATCTAAATTATGTTTTGTTTATAACGCGTTTGCGCACCTCATCCCATTCGTATTAGTTTCGAATCCGAGACTATATAAATCTAAAAAAACTCGGACACACTTCGGATTTCGTTTGTACACCAAGTCCGATTCGAGTCCCAGAAAATACGAATATCGCTTGTACTAGGCGTAAAATTATCCCTGTGACATTTCGGACCATCGTTTCTCGGATTTGGAACTCATACGAATCGGACGTACTACGCAAAAACCTTTAGCCTGTGTCTGTAAACACAAAAAATATCCAATTCCCCCAGATTCAGCAATCATTTGTATAAAATATTCAGATTGGAAAAGTTATTGAACTTTAAAATATGACGTAATATTCATTTATTGACATTCGCAGTCCATGCAAGATGTGTTCATACTTAACGTGCTGGATCAAGCAGCTGAACCTGCAGGTGTTCAAGAAGCAGGAGTACGACTCCCTACTTTGCCGCCTCGACGATATGAGGCTCGAAGATATCTATCACACGCTAAAGAACGATTTCCATTGGGACATGGCATTGCGAGAGGTGAGGGCTTTTGTTAGAAGCTGAATATGAAATGAAAGGTTAAAGAAAAGAAAAATACGAAAAAATACATTTGAATAAGAAATGAAAGTTTAAAGAAAAGAAAAATACGAAAAAATACGGCAATATAATTTTTTTTTTTTTCAATTGGTTTTGTTTTCAGAAAATATAAAACAACATAACTGTATTTAATTGATTGATTCCATACAATACTACTAATCGAAACATCCTGTAATGAAATAACTGTGATATTTTACTTTTTTTTTCTTTTTAATTTCCAATTTAATCACCACTTGAAACTCAACAACAACGAAGAGTTCGTTACACTGCACTCAATCCAATCATATTGTAACTTTTTTTTATGTTTTCAATAATATCAAGTGACGGGACGATCAAGTCGTGCGCTTGATGGTAAACTACACGTCTCTCCATAACACTTGCAGTGCCACTCAGAGCTTTAAATCGCAACTTGCAGTAATTTATCTTTTTAAATTAGAAACTTAGGGGATATCCCTCATCAGTGTGCACTGGAGGGCATAAAATCCTCTTCCATGCTCTTCCCGCCATCTGCTGTTTGACTCTACCGTCTTAAGGTTTAAATTCAGCTCTAAACATCATATGACAAGACCGGTCGAAAGTGTCAATGTACCTGTACAAAGTACATGTAAACAGCCTTAGAATAATAACGCATAGAAACCTAGTCCGCACACGCTAAGTGAGGCAAATTGAAGCGCTCCCAATGGGCCTACACGAGCGGGCGGGCCGTCAGTGCTCAAGGTCAACTTGCACCGCGAACAGCTCAAGAATTTTAGCTAAAAATGACGATATGTGCGGTAAATGAGTGTAAAAATACGTCAGACAAACATAAAATAGATACTAACATCACATTCCACATGGAAGTAACGCGTTTCAACTTGTATTTTTATATAAATATTCACTAAAACCGAAAATTAACCTACTACTAAAACTAGCCTACATGAATTTGATTTTTGCCTCACTTGTGACAGTTCGTTTGATATGAAACTATCATTCTATGCGTTATTATTCTAAGTAAACAGGCACTATAATTTGAAAAATATTATCACTGGATGAAATAATGTTAACTCAGATGAAATTTCAAGCGGATTGTGACAACTGCTTTAAGGGTGGAGTCTTGTTGATAATCTCTTTGATTCTAGAATTTTCTTTTTTCAATTTAATTTTTGATGTTTTTTGCGTATACCTACGCCCGTAACGGTATAATATACTGTATAAAAAAATATTTCACATAACTTTTTTTTTAAAAACCGATTTCAAAAATTTATGGAATTTTATCTATTTGCCAAGTATTATTGAAATCGGTTACCAGAAAATGCGCGTAACCGGATTCATCCCCTACTTTACCACCCTTAGATGTGGATTATTTTCTTCAAATTTAAATGGAACCAATATCGAGATACCCTCTTTCCAACAAAAAAAGAATCATCGAAATCGGTTCACGAATGCCGTAATAATCATGTACATTACCTCTTCCATTTGTTTGAAGTTGGTTAAAAATAGTGTAAGTTTCTCTATGTACGTGCCGATGGTGTATGTAAATAAATAAATTGCTGTATCGCATACACATCTCAAAGTGCTGACAACTCTGTTGCTGTACTGCATCGTAACAAAAAAGATTTTGATTCGCAGCTAATACTACCCCGCAACTACACGAAGTACGAACTAAACAAATCCCTCAACGAGTTCCTGGAGCTAGTGAAACTGCATCTCCTCGAAGACATGCTGGCTGATACAACCAAGCTGACTGACTGTCTGGCCCGAAATGTCACGAGGAATGCTTTCGGAAACGCTACCTTGTATGTTGATTTTTTAAATTAAATTCATAAACTACTTCAATATTATACCCACTTATTTCTGCCGCCAAGCTGTAATGTGAGTAGGTATTAACCTACCTAGGTTAATACCTAATTGGCGTAATTGGCGTAAGCTGTAATGTGAGTAGGTTAATACCTACTCACATTACAGCTTGGCGGAACGCAGTAACCGGAATGCGGTAATTGCATTCCGGTTTTGAAGAGTAAGAGTGCTGGTGAATTTACAGGCACATGGGACTATTCAACTTATGTCTCAGATCTTACATTGACCTCCAATGAACATTTGCCAACTTAATTTCTGGACCTGTTCTGTCAATTTTGTTTCTTTTTTTTTCACAAAATATGTTTTTTTTTTCGAATTTTGTTTCAAAAATTCGGGAGTCATAATATTTGTAAATAAATCTGGCTGTTTACAAAAATAACAGAAAATGACCAAATAATAAAATGGGGTAGTATTATTGGAGGTATCGGTACGTTTCATGTAGTTCATATTTGTTATGCCTAGGGTACGTTTTGAAATTTTCTTGTCACGAGGTCTGAACCTTTATCAATTTCAGGTACGTATCAATCCTGTCAAAAACGGCCCGCCTCCTCCGAGCCCAAGTGCCCCACCTACAGGAAGTAGACGGCCTTACCTCGCTACCTTATTTCAAAGAACTTGAAATGGAAGTTGCACATAACTTACACGTTTATGCATCTCCTAAGAAGTATATGGCAGAATCGTTCGCGAAACAATTGAGACAAGCTACAGACGATCGTGTAGTTGAAGATATTGTGAATGGTGATTTTAATTTACAATTGGTGAGTGCATCCTCAATATGTTATGGTACTTTTTTCAGAGAAAGAGGGAAATGCAGAAAATAGGAAAAGCTATGTCGCGCGATTACGATGGATTAGGTAACACATCCTAAACTAACTGCAATAGTTTTTGACGAATTTATAAAGATGCGAGTAGTTTGGCATTATCATGATAAACTACGTCACCATTACGATTCACCAGATCCGAGCATTATACATGAATTCTACATTTAGAACTTTCCCGCCTATTCTTAAAATACGCGCTAAAATATAATTTTTAAAATGACAATAGAAAATAGATAATAAAAAAAAGTAATAGGTAATAATACAATTTTCAGAAAAAAAAGTTCATTTTTGTTTAAAGTTAGCTAATAGTAAAAACCGCACAGACTTTTTGATCAACCCATTAGAAGAGAGTGTTAGTGGCATTGTCTTGCTTTTAGTCTCTTCCATCTACCGCCTACGAATATGATAATGTCGTCTACCCATCTTGCTGCACGATGTCCACATTTCTGTAACTGGTTCCTGGCTACCATTCGATTGACGCCCTATTCCACCTGTCGTCGTCGATTCCTCCTCCTCCTCGACACCTCTCACCTCATTCGAGCTCCAAAGAAAGCGTCACAACAACAAAAGTGAAAATCTCATTTATTTTTCAGCTTATCGACAACAAGACTTCAATAGAGAAAGTAGTGACCCTGCGCCAAAATAGTTGGAAGAACATTTGCGACGCGTACGATTGCAATAAAATTGATGACGTCATAAGTAGTAATGTCAACTACAGTCTGATTAGATCGGAAGTGAGTATTTCAAAAGATTCTACAGACGTCTTCAAATTAGACGCTTCAGCTTGTTCAATTTGACAGATCTCGGTCTAATCCCGTTCACCATCCTACATCCGTCCAAAACAATTACTGTCCAATACACGACCACACCAAAAGACAATGTCAAGTATGAAGCTCCTTTTAATTATACTTGCAGTGTCTTTGGACATTTCTAAAGCCTTTGACAGGGTCTGGCACGCAAGCCTTTTAAGCACTGACCTTTGCAATTGGATCTCGGATTTCTTGAGTGAAAGTTCCATTCGAGTGGTCTTAGAAGGCTACTCTTCCGAACATATGGCGATAGATGCCGTTCCTCAGGGTTCCGTACTATCTGCAATTCTCTTCAGGGTCAGTGGAGAGGAAATCCAGTCTTGTCGAGTGTCCATGGTTAGCCGTTTAGATATGACGCTCAAGGCTGTCTCCGATTGAGGCGATGCCAATCTTGTCGAATTTAACGCTACCAAAACGCATGCGTGTCTATTCTCCACAAAAAGGAATCCCTTTGAGCTAACACCGACTTTTCGTGATATATCCATACCGATAGCCGACCATCTCCAGCTACTTGGAATGGTTGTCCAATCTGAACTTCGGCAGATACATTAAATCCATTGCCAAAAATGCAGCCAAGAAGCTTGGCATCCTTTCCAGGGTAAAGCGTTACTTCACATCAGGACAATTGCTTCAGCTGTATCAAGCACAAGTGCGGTCGTGTATGGAGTACTGCTGCCACCTTTGAGATGGCTCTGCTACATACCAACTGGCCACCTTGGATTCAATTAACAAGCGTGGCAAGTGGCTTATAGGTGACTCGGAATTAGTAGAAGCGAAGCTGCAGAGTCTTGAACACCGCCGTAAAGTTGCCTGCTTATCGGTATTTTACAGGATATATCACGGAGAGTGTGCGAACGGCTATGGAGTGGAATTCGCAGCCTGCAGACTTGTTCCCTGAACGTTATAACTTGGACCTTTTCAAGGCGAGAGGATATAGGCGTTATTTCGGTGTGCATGCTCCATCGTCGACCTCATCGTCACTTTCCATCAGATGGGATGGAGGTCAAATGCACACTTACATTTAAATGAAAAAAAAAACTTGGTCGAGTTTGATTACTTGACATTCATTGTTTTGGACGGATGTTATGCGGAGGTTCAAATGGGCATTCTAAAGGATATATCACGGAGAGTGTGCAATGGAATTACACGATTTAAAACCGCTCTCCCCTTTCCATCACCGGGGAACTGGACGTAGTCTTGGGTCAAAACCCTATGTTGTGGATATTCCAAAGATTCACACAAAGCGTTACGTTTTACATTTATATGGCGAACGGCTATGGAGTGGAACTCCCTGCCTGCTGACTTGTTCACTGAACGTTATAACTTGGATTTTTTCAAGGCGAAAATCATAGGCATTATTTAGGTGTGCATGCTCCATCGTCGACCTCACCTTTTTAAGAAATACAATATAATGACCATGTACTCACAATATATTTATGATATTATAGTTTATGCGCGTCAAAACTTGGCTACTTATGAGCGACGTACGGGCGGAGGCCGAGCGTTACGAAACGCGGGAACACTAAAATCCGTTGCCCACCGTACCGAACTTGCAACTAGAAATCCGCGGGTAATAGGTCCCCGATTATACGAACATCTACCCACAGACCTGAAAAGTGTTAGAAACGATTAAACGTTTTGTACCCGACTAAAAATCCTTTTATTGGATATTGAATTGTACAGTGTCGATGAGTTTCTTTTGAAACAATTTTAATTTTATTCTATTCGACAAGCAGTAGTTATACTACTTTATTTTATATTCATTATTATTATTATTATTATTATTATTTTGTTACTGACGATCATAGTTATCCCTTGACATTGTATTTCCAATTGTAATATTATGACATTGATAACATGAAATAAACGATTCTATTCTATTCTATTCTATTCTATTCTATTCATTGCCACTTTCCATCAGGTGAAATAGAGGTCAAATGCGCACTTTATTTTTATTTAAAAAATCTTAGATTCTCATAACCTGTACCTGTAACGCCAAACTAAGGCCACTGCTGTACCAACTGAGCTACAGATCGAGTCAGACCTCACTGGCTTACCGATTACCCTATTTTGGCATACACACGTAAATTCAAGTCCTGCCAGATTGAAAGAATTTTTCTTTGTGTCCGGTGTTTGTATTTGTAGCATATTTGGTATACTATAAAAAATCCAAACTATTTTCCAGCTGCTCTCACTGCAAACCAAAGAATTCTGGAAATTTAACTTCATTTCTAACATCCTTAAACGCATAGAAGACCTACTGCACCATATGAGCAAACTGCTGGCCGTCGTAAGCAAGATGGATGTCCAAGGAGTCATGGAAGGGAGACTTGCGTCTTTGATTGACTTTGTGGTGACCGTTATGTCTGATGTTGTTAGCAGTGATTTATTGTTCAGGTAAGAATGCTTATAAGTAAAAACATAACAGTTGCAGTGCCACCCAGAGCATTAAGGCGGGGTATTTCAACGCGAGCCCAGATTTTAAGAGGGGAAGTGTGGAGGGGCGCCCCTCGCGTATCGCCATCCGTGCGCTGTAAAGTAATGTGAATAAAATACGAACAGGCGGGGAAAATTTTACACAGATCCGAGGTCGACAAGAGACCGATGGCGAATGATGGGGCAACGTATGGCGCGGCGTGTAGTTAAATCGTTGGGCGTTTTCAAAGTTTTGGAATAAATGTAAATTGAATAACTATAGGGCACCAATTGAAAACCAGAATTTCTCAGGTTCTCTGTAGTACATGAAGTGAAATATCTTCATACAAAAATTATGTACAAAGCTGATATTTTATTTTGTAAAGAGCCATATTTATTTACTAATATTATGCTCCCTGAATTTTGTGAAAAAAAATATAAAGAACCAAAAAACAACGAAACCAACTTGACCCACTCGACTCCATCCCCTTAGCCTACGGAGAGACATTGGCTCTCTGTGTGTGTTCTGCCGTCTTTTTAATGGGAGTGCTCTGAGGAACTTTTTAAACTATTGCCACCGTCTAGTTTCCATCATCGCACCTCCCACCAAAGGAGTAGAGTCCATCCCCACATTTTAGTTGCCTGGCATTGTAAAACCACGCGGGCATTTCATTTGTTCGTTCTCTCCTCGAACCTGCAAGATGTGGAATGATCTTCCTCCTGAAGTATTTCCTTTGCGCTATGACATGGGGTACTTCAAAAAGCGTGTTCACAGGGCTCTCCAGGACTGGCATAGGCAGCTCATCTGATGTTGCAAATGTCCAGTTATGTTTGCTTCCTACTTTACATTAAAAAAAATTGGATAAAAAGAAACAAAAAAAGGATTTGTGAAATAAAGAAACAAAATAGAAACAGAACAGGTCCAAAAATTACTGTAGTGTTCATTGGAGGTACCTTGGTAAAACATGTGTTCCTTATATTAAGGGGAAAATTTCGTAACCCAAATGTGCTTGATTCACTGAGAGTAGTGGTTCCAAAAGCCAGACTACGGTGGAGCTATAGTGTGCACATTCTACAAGTCCCGGTAGCTCGTAAAAATATCTTAGTTTGCTCCACTAACAAGCGCTATAAGAATAACCTTTGACTTTGCACATTCTTGCAGTTACAGTTATTGTTGAATTGGCAAAATCCTGTAATGACATATTTATTATGTTTAAATAAATAAATATACACAAGTTACATATACTAATAAACACCTTCCCTTTTAGCCTAGAGGGGTTAATAACAGATCTTCACCCGCTGCTAGAAGATTCGTCGCTGGAACATGATATGAAGGCGCTTGCGACCGGGCTGAACGTGATGAAGCAGCTCAGGAACTACCTCGTCGAGAAAGAAGATTTGAGAGGTATAGCAAAAATATCATTGTATTTTGAAGCAGAAACGAAATGTGCAACACTTCAGTTTTACCTCTGCCATCTTTTAATGATGTCACCGATGTTCAAACTTATTTAGTAAAGTCATTTTTAACTTGGTTTTGCATCTGAGTGTTATAGCAACGCCCTCACTGGATTACATTACTCTGGTGGAAGGTTGATACGTGAAATTTTTGGCGATCCCAAAGATTACGCATTTATACGCCATTGATGACGTCATCACGAAAATAATCCTACCCATGTGTTTAATTTTCATAGTAGACATGGAAATGAGTCCTACTGCGAGACTGCCCGCCTGCAAGCGTAGAATCCGCAGTGTCAGAGCACTGCGGAGATCGAGTATTTAATTTAGTGCGGATATTCACGGAAGACAGTCGCCTGCAATGAACGCACGAATGGCTTGTGCGAAGTCACGCGGAGCGCGTTCCGTGCGGAGCAATCCGCATTAATGTAAAACGATGTTCTAATGCCATACGTGTTACTCCACTCCGGTCCTCCGCGCGGACGGTCCGCAGATAAATCCGCACTGCTCTCAAACCAGCCTAAATGGTGTCCCTAGTGTGGGGCTGCATCATTGGATAAACTTACTCATTTACAAAGCTGAAGACATTGACTTACAATTATATGGACGTCGGGTCCGCGCTCAAAAGTGTCCGAACTTATAGGGCGTTAAAATCGTATGCAGAGCGTCATTCACGCTCTAGTCTTCGTTTGTTCGACTGACATCGAAGCAAGCAAAATTAGACAGTACTGCGATGACATTACAATTTAAATTCAACGTTTTAGCTTTTTCATATTCCTTGAAATGCCACTACGTTTAAATAGGTTGACTTGGGACATTTTTTTCGTGGTTTTTATATTAGACCCGTCGCTCGTCCATTTATTTGTAAGTCAATGGCTGAAGATGATTTTTTTATGTAATTCTAATGGCGCTATGTAAAAAAAATCTTTATCTCGTAAATCTTTATCCCGATCAATCAGACTCTGATGTTTATTTCAGCAGGATCCGAATGATTCTTTGTTGCTTGATAATGTTTTTCTCTTGCAGTGGACATAAACAAGTACTTTCCTCAACCTGAGCACGTGGAGCTCGGCCTGGAGCGGCTCGGCATTAACAACACGAACTTCTGGTCGATAGCTGCGCCCAGAATTCAGGCTGGGTACATCCACTTGAAACCAGTATGTCCTCCATACTCATCAGCTCGAAATTAATTTGTGTTGGAAATGAAACTATATTTCCGGATTTAAATCGCGTATATTTATTTTTTCAAGCAAACCAACGTTTCGGGCCCTTTACAGGTCCCATGGTCACGGTTGACTGAGGTGGTACAGTCATCAACCAATTACCTAATATATATTAGGGGTTAAAGTATGAAATTGCCGTTTTATTGCAATAGGTTCTTTGAATTTTCATAGAATTCTTCATGGTTTGAGGTTTTCGAATGAAACTTTTTTCAAATGGTT